TTACAAGTGTATAAAATATACAAAGTGAATCCCAGGACGCTTCCCTGTTGTACTCCTACCTTAATTTCTTTTAATTCAGAGTATGCTTGTTTTACTCTAAAGAATCTATCTAGTAGCTCTGAGTATGTTTTAAGCCATCATGCCTTACTTTATCGAAAGCCTGCGCAACACCTAGCAGGATGGCTGAACAGACCTATTTGTTTTCTAATGCTTTTTCAATCGCATTTGATATACCTGATCAATAGTTAAATGGTTTTCTCTAAAGTTGAACTGATAATCTGGAAATAGTTGTCTTTCTTCAATGATGACTTTCAGTCTTTTCATTAGTATTTTTTCGAATAGTTTCGATATTATAGGCAACGAAACTTCATTTAGATGTATTCCTGGTTTGGAGATCATAATGACTTCAGCTACTTTCCACAACGTAGGAATATACCTTAGTTTGAATGAGGCATTAAACAGGTGCGTAAGTTTAATTATGGAAGTTGTTTTAAAATTTCCCTTGTAATTAAATCAAAGTCAGGAGCTTTCTTTATATCTTCTGCAATTTCCGTTGGAGAGGTTGATCTGATGATTAAGTCATCTCTCTCTCTTTCTCTTTCTCTTTCTCTGGAGGATCCCAGTTCGGTAATTCTTCTTTTTCATTTGGTTGAAAGGTATTTTGTAAGTGCTCTGCAAATTTGTTAATTTTATTTCTAGCCCATTTGCCGTCTGTAGTCCTGATTGGAGCATTCTGTACAGTGGGCCTTTTTAATCGCTTTGTGGCTTTCCATAGAGAATACTCAGTTGCTTTATAGTTTATCAAATCACTAAGGTACTCACAAACAAATTCATTTTTGATTCGTTTTAACTCTCTTTTCAACTGCTGGGTGGCATTGTTAAGTTAGGTTTTATCTGGTGGAGCTCTGATCTGATGCCATTTCCTCCTTAGTTTTCTTTCTGCAAAAATAAGATCTCTTATTTATTTAGGATAGTTATTTCCTGTTGTTCGCTGAACAATAGATGTGGTATTATTCCATGCTGCTTGCTGCGTGTTGGACACAAGTAGTTCTACGTCTTCATCGTTTGTTCTTAATGGTATAGAAAGATTGATTTTGTTTTTAAGATCCAATCTGAAGCGTTGCCAGTATGTTCTCCTATTTGTTAGTCTAAGAGCGCTTTTCTTTTAGAAAATATTGTCACTAAGAGTCGGAAGAATGGACGAATGATCTGAATTCATGTCACATGCCTCACCAACTTGGATAAAGTTTGCTGAAATTTTTCGTACAATTAAAAAGTCTATTAAGTCGGGTAATTTATTTCTATTTTTGGGCCAGCCAATAAGTTAGTTTGCCAGTTGAATGTGACTCATATTTTAGCTGTGTCATTGCTTTTTTAGGTTTTTACCCTTAGTATGTATTAATTTGGAGCTCCAAAGGGTCTATTTTGAATTGAAGTTGCCTCCAATAATAAATCTAGGTTGTTGACTATTAAGGAAGTCTAGGAATTGTTCTTTTTTAATGGTATGTGTTGGAGGACAATATGTAAAAGTAAAAGTGACCATCACATCATAAGTTTTAGATTTTATCATTACTGAAGTAGCCTGAAATTCTTTATTCATGTACCGTGCTTCTTGATGATGTTTAATTGCTTCTCTTATTATTACTGTGCTACCCCCACTTGCTGCATTTTAGAGATGAATGGTATGCTATGCCTTATATTCCTTAAATTTAATAAAGAACTCATTGATAAAGTAAGTCTCTGAAATTAAGTATATGTTGGTAATTCTTGTTGGTGCTGCAGCAGTCCATTAGCATTACATTTCATTATTATTACGCTAGTACTCATATTGTCTCTTAGGTATAGATACTTTGCTACCATATTCTAATCTAGTAATTCGTTCATCCAGTTTGTTCAGCTTTTACAATATTTAGTGGAGACTGGAGAGTATTGGTAATTGATGAATCTTGATTATTATCTATTTTATTTTCCTCTTTACCAGATACCGTCTGGCTAAATGATCTAGATTTGTCTATTAGATTGTTTCTATTAACAGGTTTATGTTACAGCACAGCACATCAAAGTGGATGCAATGTTTTATAAAATAGTGGATCCGTGATTTATATTTTGGTTTCTAAGCAATTTCTGTCTAGAATGTTCATGAAAGTCACATATTTAAATAGACTGTTTTACTGTGAGAAAGTAGAGTTTAAGTTAAGATATCGTTCTGCTTACATAAATATTGACTATATAAATTAGTGCATAAGTAAAGATCCATAATATAAATTGGTGTTTTAGTGAATATAAATTAAATAAATAAACATGAAATAAATAACACGTGTGGAATAATCAAACATTTGCGCTAAAATAATATATAGTAATTTAGTTATTTTACCACCTAATTCACAAACCATCTTTAAAAGTATATGTAAGTTACATATAGTTTTATTCATAGATATTTTCTTTAAATGCCCATATCTACGCTATTCTTTAAATTGGCTCAACAAATGGTGATTCAAAATCAACTTAATGGGACCTACCTATGAAATGGTATATTACACGATATTGATCGGCTAGAAATAATCAAAATTTCTTTTTTTTTTTCTTAAACGCACCCTGGTTGACCGAATACCGACACGATATGCATTTCGCGCAATCATCAGGTAAATTTGTACGCTCATGCATAACATTCGTACACAGAGTGATTACTCTGGTTCACAAGTGCCATTTCCCTTGAAACCAGCACCGAAAATTATGATTTTGGGCTCATTCGATTCGGAATGGCATCTAGAACATTCTATCAAAATTCCAAGAGGGGCTGAAAAAAAAAATGCAAAAGTTATAAACAATAAAGTAAAATAAAAAATAAGGGTTTGGTTTTTTTAAAATATTTCAAAAACTATTTGAGATAATCGAAATTTGAAAAAAGATCCTTAAAGAGCAGGAAATTTCCTAAAAAAAAGTCCATAACTGTACCAACAACCCTTATAATTTTAATTAAGCGGCGAAAATAACGGTAAAAACGCGTGGTTCGGCTGCCACGCGCATCGCCCCAATCTGACACATGAACTAAAAAAATTATTTTAACTGATTAAATGATAATATTAAGGAATAAAAAAATTTGGGTACTAAGTAGACATATGAATAAACAATAATCCGTAAACAAAAATTTTTTATCACTATTTTTTTATTAATTATGCTTTTGTTAATTAGTTAATTTTCACCATTTTAATGTTAACATAAAAACGCTGATTATTTCAAAACAAGAAATCTAGAATTTTTTTTGATTTTTTTGAGCTATTGTTAAAAGGGTTTAGAAGAGATCTCCGTTAGAAAAATTCAAAAATTTTGATTTTTCACTTTTTTATTAACAATCAAAGGCATTAAAAAATTATTTAGTACAATATTTTTAAAAGTTAAATAAAAAATAATAAAAAAATTTTTTCAATAAAAAAATATGTATGGTTGTTTTTATAATATTTTTAAATATTTAAACAAAAAATATTGCGTAAAATTGCATTTGTTTATAACATATTGTTATATAATATAAATTATTTAGTACAATATTTTTAAAAGTTAAATAAAAAATAATAAAAAAATTTTTTCAATAAAAAAATATGTATGGTTGTTTTTATAATATTTTTAAATATTTAAACAAAAAATATTGCGTAAAATTGCATTTGTTTATAACAAATTGTTATATAATATATATATACATTTTGTACACTAAACTGAATAATACCACCAAAATGAACAACCTTAATTAAGATTCTCCCTGATGATGGAAATAAACATTTCCGAAAGCTTGGAATAAACTTAAAAAAGTAATCTTTCATTTGCTGCATTACCCACAAATTACTGGTTTAATTATTAACTAGTCAGCAACGATTATCAACTCTCTTATATATATATATATATATATATATATATATATATATATATATAATTTTTTAATGCCTTTGATTGTTAATAAAAAAGTGAAAAATCTAAATTTATTGAATTTTTCCAAAGGGGATCTCTTCTAAACCCTTTTAACAATAGCTCAAAAAAATCAAAAAAAATTCTAGATTTCTTTTTTTGAAATAATCAGCGTTTTTATGTTAACATTAAAATGGTGAAAATTAACTAATTAACAAAAGCATAATTAATAAAAAAATAGTGATAAAAATTTTTTGTTTACGGATTATTGTTTATTCATATGTCTACTTAGTACCTAAATTTTTTTATTCCTTAATATTAATATTTAATCTGTTAAAATAATTTGTTTAGTTCATGTGTCAGATTGGGGCGATGCGCGCGGCAGCCGAACCACGCGTTTTTACCGTTATTTTCGCCGCTTAATTAAAATTATAAGGGTTGTTGGTACAGTTCCGGGAGGTAGGACTTTTTTTAGGAAATTTCCTGCTCTTTAAGGATCTTTTTTCAAATTTCGATTATCTCAAATAGTTTTTGAAATATTTCAAAAAAACCAAACCCTTATTTTTTATTTTACTTTATTGTTTATAACTTTTGCATTTTTTTTTTTCAGCCCCTCTTGGAATTTTGACAGAATGTTCTAGATGCCATTCCGAATCGAATGAGCCCAAAATCATAATTTTCGGTGCTGGAGGACAGGTTTCGAGGGAAATGGCACTTGTGAATCAGACTAGATATCACAGTAGCATTATTAGTAAGGGTAGAAATTTTTGGCTACAATTTGGGTTAATTGTTATTATAGAATCCAATAACTTTAAAATTAAATATCTATGTAACCGTCTGAGATAAGAATATGCGGAGATGATATGAGATGTATTAGTACGCATAAATTTTAATAGAAAAAATATGTTTCTGGTAAATATTTCGGCCAGAGTTTGGGCTAGAAGAAACGGTTTATATAAATATTGCGATATCTTAAAATTTGACTGTCCTCTCTTGTTATTCTTCCTCTGGTTCTAGTTTAAATATTCGTGACAATCACATTTTACACACTTGGTACATTAATATCAATAGTTAGTCCCTTAAATTTACTGAAACTCACTCACCGGTAATGCAGACATCTTATTACTTCCGTTCGATTTATATTGGAAATAACCGACTGGTTGCATACTCATTCTAAGCGTTCCATTCATCTCTTTGTCGTCAAGCAGAGCGACCACTGTGAAGTTTCCCTCTGCATCTCCATTATTGTCAATGAATACCTTGATAACAAACGATATAAATGAATAACAATCTTATTGGCGAGAAAATGCTATATGTAAAGATTCTATCCCGTTTGTGTCAATTATTTTTTTAGATGTGTTTACACAATTGAGACAAAACATTGAATGTATTAGATAAAGAGTAAAATTCATCGTGAAACCCGCTTTTTATCGTTTAATTCACATATGGATGACCAATCTATATAACTATATATCATTGATGTTATTTTATTGATATGGAATATCTATGGATATGGAATATGGCATTATATCACATACTTTGATTTTCTTTTACTATACGAAGAATGGTCGCACTGCGCAGCTTTCTGAGTGCCTTTTAAAAGGAGATAGAAAACTCCGCCATTTTGAACCCTTATTACGTGTTGCCTACATCTTGGCGTAATATTTTTAATAGGTGCGTTTTAATGGCCGCATTCAGCAGAAGCAATCGATTTATGATTTTCTGCTGAATGATATATAAAAGAGCGATTAGTAATCAAATGATGAGTTATCGGCCGCCATTTAAAACATCGAATTTGAAATACGATTAGTTATCACATCGTGATCAGATTTAGAACTCATACCAACTGAAGGGAATGTTTTGTGGTGGTTCTCATAACTCATAACCTTATTTTATGTTTATTTTGAATTCATTTTTACACTGAATTTGTCATTTTTCACTGAAATGAAGGACTTTAAAGTGATATATATAACAATATGAAATATATTGTAGTTGGTAATGAAGTGTTGCACAATGCATTAAAATCAGGCAAATACACTAATTTATAATTATGTAGTTGAGTAATTTATTTGGTGTTTTATTCTAAATTTTGTACCTATGTTCTAGATGATGACTTTTTTCTGATGTCGCCTGTCGAAGAGCCTAAAAAGTTCATTCAGGAGATTCACTAATCGATAAGTCATCGCTAAGTTATCGTTTAATAATCGGTTGCTTCTGCTGAATGCGGCCAATCATCCGCTTCTGCTTCGGAATTGTCTTTTCTTGTTTTAATCTGACAGGTTAGAACGACTGAACCGACAATTCCGGAAGCAGAACCGGATGATTAAAACGCACCTGATATTTTGCTTGCTACTGTCAGTGTCAGTAAATATTATTTTTGGAGTCACAGTTTATTACTAAAGAATCAGTTAGCTCACTCGGACCAGTTGAAAGTTCCAAAATAACATCCACTCCAGGGATACAAATTCAGGATACGCAGAAGACTGCTGTTTTATTATAGGCAGTTGTCATATATTGTATTATCTGAGTTGCGCAGTGTATAAACTGGAACATTGAGATAAAAAGTGCCGACGCAGAGTGAGCGATCTGATTCTTTAGCTATAAACTGTGTCATAGGGTTCAAAATGGCCGCGCCCTATGTTGGGCGTGTCGGACCTCTCTCTTGCCCCGTATAATAATCAAAGTATGTGCATTATATATTATTTTACACAAAAGGTTTTAGAACTAGTACTTCACTCCCTTGGGCTTATGATGTATGCTATGTATTTCATTGACAATAATAGCTATTTTCCTGGAACCAATTCCGAACATATTTTAAATGCTAAGGTAAATATTACACTGGATTTGTATTGTTTAAATGTTTATGTAGGCGTTGTTTAATAACTTTTAATTAAAACACGTCGAGTTTAAAATGGATATAAACCTTTATTATTCAAGTATACATCAAGTCACTTTTACAAAGAATGAATGAGTAACAGTGTCAACTGTCAAGTGTCACACTTCAAATAAGTACGTTCCTTTGAGTTCACTAATGGTCAGTTCACATTAGAGATTAACTCCACTCAAACAGGCTTTAACTTAGCGTTTAAAATACGTTCGGGATCGGTTCCGCGAAAATAGATAGTGAAACTTTCTTGACAGGGAGAGAAGTCAGAAAAAGTAAAAAAGCTATAAAAAAGATTCTTTATATTGTCTACTTTCAGTACACAGAAATACTTACGTCATAGCCTTGAACAGAATGGTAGGACCTATTAATGATTCTGTTCAAAATCGCAGATCCATTCCGAGGATCCTCATGATTTTCAAAGACTTCGGTGAGGGCTCTAGCATATATCATCACGGCGTCATACAAATATGCGGCTTGAATCGGTACCTGAAAATTGGTATTCATATTGCCTACTAGTCGTCTTTATTATGCCACAAGATAGTAGTATCGTCAGCAAATAGAGTGAATCTTCCTGATATATTTAACTTGCCTAAATCATTTATATAAATTAAAAGTAGGGTGGGCCCAAGAACAGAACCTTGAGGGACACCCCATTTTATGTCACTTGTTTTCGAGTCTGAAACAGTTCGGACTAACTCTTTGCGACCTAAAAGGTAGGATTTCATCCAACTCAAGGCCACATCTCTTATGTCATAAACTTCAAGCTTTCGCAGCAGTATTCCGTGGTTGACACAGTCAAAAGCTTTAGTCAGATCATAAAATACTACAGCTACAGCCTCGTTTAAATTTATACTTGTATAGGCTAATTCCAAGCAAGAAGAAACAGCATCCGATATGTTTTGGTTGTGTTGAAAACCGAATTGATTTTTGTCCAGTATATTATTTTGGTCTAGATATCTAACTAGTCGAGTTTTTACAAGTTTCTCAATAATTTTTCCCAGTGTCGGAATTAGAGATATGGGCCTAAAATTAGACGGCTCAGTCAAGTCTCCTCCCTTATATAATGGAACCACAACACTCGTTTTAAGAAAAGAAGGAAAAGTACCAACTTTTATTTATTAAAATGGATAAAACGTCTAATGCAGAGGTAGGTGAGTTTTGAAATATTTTTACTGACATTCTATCATAACCTGATGCAGTTTTGTTGTTTATGTCATTACAATCTTTTAATATTTCTAAGGAATTTGCTTCTCTCAAGAAAAATGAGTATTTAATTGGCAAAATGTATTGAAATCGTTAGGATTTATATTTGCATTGCATGATTTATGGGTACTTTTGCCTCTCAATTCATTAATAATAGACCAAGTTTCCCTTGCCTTATTTTTTGAGCTCAATTCTTGTATGATAATACATATCTTTAGCTTTTCTATATAAAGTTTAAAAATAATCTGTTTGCGTAAATTTTTTTATATTATTGAGAGATCTCATATTTTTTCTTAAACGAACTGTAATCCACGGCTTTTTCTGCTTAACTTTTATTTTTTGAATAGGGAATAACGCATTATGCCTCCTATGATGGGATACTTCAAATAACTCATCTAGATTTAGGATATATAGAAACAGCGAAAAATATTTATGGTTGTTTTTAAAAAAAATTGAAAAATAGTAGAATCTGGTCACTATGTAATATTTTATTGTACTACATAATTTTAAATTTATCGTAAAAATAGGGTAAACAGGTTAACATATTTTTGTAATCGGACGTATCTCATAATATAAATGGATTAAATTCGAGTTTTTAAAACCATTACCTTGCTAAAAAAACACATTTTTATAGCCCTAGCAGTCTCTCGTACAATTTGATAAGAGGAAATTACTTTTTTTCTGTAGGGATAAAACATTTTCAATCCTTGAATATCACAAAAAAAACAAATTAAAAAATATTTCCACATTGACGCTTAAACAAAAGCCGAGAATCAACAATGTTATCACACATTAATGAAAACAGTAAACAATTGGTATTTATTTTACATTAAATAGGTCTACGGGGTTATCGAAAAAGTCCAAAAGTTATAGAATTGTGAAATTAAAGAAATTTTTGAATTTCAAATACCAAAGTAGTGTCTGGCTAAATGGCAATTTACTTGTACTGAAAAATAAAAATTACCAAAGTACATAAACTTCTTGGTAATCGGAAATAAGTGCGTAGGTTAACACGTTCACTATCCTAATGGTATTTTTCCGCAAACCGTTACACGTCCCCTCTTAAATTTGTATTCCTCATATTATTATGTAGTTCGCAGGACTCTATGATAATTTAGATGTACGACCTACGTCTTACGTCCTACACGACCTATAATGTGGGTCGTAAAATAAAACCTTGAATATTTGGCAACGTTTCAACTCGCCAATATTGTTTGGTGGTCTTTCTCGAGCATGCAAACAGGTGTGTTGTATAACTCAATTGAAAGTGTTTCCTCCTAAATACACGGCCATGTCCGGAATAAAACGTAAATTAATCCAGAGAGAGTTAGAAGAAAATCTATCCGAAATAAGTTCTGCCAGTGATTTTGATTCAGACGACAGTGTGGCAGACCCGCATTACGGAAATGAAGATGGCGATTCAAGTTCTAATAAAGAAACGGATGACAGTGACATTCAAGATGAAAGTAAACAAGAAACTAGTGAAGTTTCAAAAGATGAAATGAAGGAGAGTGATCCCGATTTCTGGTCGTCAACCATACTCTTATTTTCAAGATTTACATTTAGTGTTGTAGGTGGAATAAACATTCAAATTACTCAAGATATGGAACCCATAGATATTTTTAGTTTATTTTTGACGATATTATTGAGCTAATGGTCGCACAAACAAATAATTATTCTTTAGAACTTCAACGCAAAAAACATTTAGTACGCTTAGCAAAAATTTCTAGATGGAACGATACAGACAAAGAAGAAATGAAAACATTTATTGGTGAGTAATTACAACTTTGATTTTTATAGTGATGTCTGAATATGATGTGATTGTTTGTTTGTGTTAGGTATGCTCCTGCTTATGGGACTTATAAACTTCCCTACTATAGAATGTTACTCGAAAAACGACCTATTGTATTACTATGAACTTTTCCACCGACTTCCTATAAAGATAACCGTTTTACATTGTTGCTGAAATGTTGGCATTTCGAAGACAAAACAATACCTTCAGAAGGCCGCTTGCCAAAAATTGCACACTTGTTGAATCTTGTTAGAAATAACCTAAAAAATGCCCATTCTCTTGGTGATACAGTTGTTGTGGACGAAACCATGGTTCCTTTCAGAGGTCGTCTGAAGTTTCGTCAGTATAATCCATCAGAAGCCCATAGATATGGTATCAAACTATTCAAAGTATGCTCCACTTGGATACACTTGGGATCTAAAAATGTACAGTGGAAAAAATAAAAGACGCCAAGGACTAGATCTTCCTGGTAGTACAGTTGTTGAACTAGTTGATCCCTTATAAAATGCTGGAAGATTAGTTATAACTGACAATTATTATACAAGCATTGAACATATCTCTACGAGAGGAAAACAAATTTGTTAGGAACCATGAGAAAAAACAGAATAGATGTAGTCAACTGCTAACTAAAAAAAGGACAGATAATTGCCAAACCAAATAATTTTATAACATTCTTCAAGTGGCATGATCAACGTGATATCCATATGCTTTTTACGGGCCATGATCATCAAATGAAAGTTTATGGGAAAAAAGGAATGGAGAAGATAAAATCAAACGCTTAGCTATAATAGAGTATCTCTGACCAATTATCTAGTTATTATACTTGTCTTCGAAAGTCTTTGGTTTGGTTCAAAAAATTGGCCATTGAAATAATTTGTGGGACAATCATTGTCAATACTTTTATTTTGTATAATTCTGTGCGTCCAGTGAAAGATCAGTCATCAATGATAAAAATTAGAGAATCTCTTATTCTCAGCCTTCTCAAAACAAATGAAAAGATGAAAAGGCAAGAAAAGCATGAAGAAAAAAAGCAAGAGAATGGAGCCCATAAGCTAGATGAGCTACCTAGAGGTAGCGATGACAAAATATACAGAAAACGCTGTCATGGGTGTTATACTAAGTTGAGAAATACTCTTACATCAAAATAAACAATGTAAAAAACTAAGAAAGTCTCAGCTTTTTGCCGTTTATGCAACCAAGCATTTTGTATGAAGAAAATAATTGATTTTCCCTCTGTTTCCTTTGTATACACTTTTAATAAGAATATTTTCATTATTTTGTAACCCCATTTTTGATATACCGTATCTAGATTATTTTTCATAGAATAAAATGGTTTTTTTTACCAAAATGTAGTTTTTTTTCCTTAGAGTTCTTTTAAAGAAAGCAATAATTTACTGACACGTCCTTCTTAATATTAAGCTATAACAAAACCTACATTTACGACCCAAATATGGTTTGTAGGACCGTGAACATGTTAAAAAGGATTAAACCTTTGATTTTCAATAAAACCTTTGTTAAGATTACTGGGCTAATGATTTTATTGTATTCTAAATTCATTTAGTTTTTGAAACGGATCTATATACGTTTAGGAGAAAAGTTTTTGTATTTAAAGTATTTATAGGAGATACTGTTTAAAACAATTTTACTTTATTTAAAATTAATAAAGCGCTTTCGCCGATTAAGGCATCGTCAGGACTCTAAAAGGATCATAGCTAATAAAAATACAATATTTAATGTTTTTGATGTTTTCCCTTGTTTTACGGTCTTTTTGACGAGTAAATGTAACCTTATTTTACTTAAATAATTGTATTTTCATGGGCTATGATTTTTTAGAGTCCTGATGATGCCTTTTAAGGGGTTATGATGGACAAGTCCTGTTATTTTTAACAGACACGTTATCTGTGAACATATTGTTATTTCTGTGTGTTTATAAAATAACAGACCTGTTAAAAATAACACAGATTGTCAATCATAACCCCCTTATATCGGCGAAATCGTTTAACTAATTTTAAATATAGTACAACTGTTTTAAACAATTTCTCCTGTACACACTTTAAATACAAAATGTTTATGGTTTTCCTACTACTCAATGTGTATAAACCTATAACCTCTTTGTATATTTTTAGTTATGATCAGTGTCACCGTGGCTGACATTTTGTTTTTACCAGTAATTTCATTAAAACGTATCAAATTTGTTCATTCTTGTACCAAAAGTTATACAATTGTAATATATTTGATCTAGCACCAGTAGCAACGTACCAGAAACATTATCAAACGTATTGTCGTATTAGATTATTTTCTAAAAGGCCACGACTAGATCTATGGTTATGATACTAATATTTTCACATTCTTCAGATTCATTTTTCTTTTAATTAGCCTACTTACCGAGATACTGTCAAATATTTTGTGATGATATGGTACACAAAATGGCGGCTTTGCAGAGGTTGCCTTAATTTGCTCGCAAATGTATCTGAAAATGCAATTATTATTTTTCGTGGATTACGCTACTTGCGAACACTTACTTGTAATTTGGATTCCTAGGATGAGATGGTGTCAATTTCAACACCGATCTAAATCCCATTACGTCACTGACATTACCCCACCCTTCGTGATGTAGAAATGGATCCAAATAATCTGGAAAAAAAGCGCATAATTTTAGGAAAAATTGAAATATTTTGAATTTTTAATAGATTTTAATTAATTTGGTGTGGTTTTTGTAAAATTTGTATTTAAGTAAAATATCTATATGTGCACGATCATAAATAATGTAAAAATTCTGTAAAACATACATATTGAATATTACATCAAAATTTTAAGTATTTTCATGACATATCAATGAAGAGTTAATTTAATGGGGATCACAGCAATATTCGGCAATTCCAAAAATGTATTGCGTTACTTTTTATTTTTAGCGCCATCAAGAGAGATAGTAGAGAGTTATTGCAAGTTCACTTAAGGTCAGTCACTATTAATGCCGCTCTTATTTTGACATCTGAGCATGCGCAGATCACTAACTTTAATAAAGATTGTGCCTGTCCTTAAGAGAGATATTGCAAATTTCTATAAACCCAGCCACTAATAGTGACATCGTAATTAGAGTCAAACAAATTCCATGCTAAAATCAGACTTATTGCAAACCTGAAATTTTGACATTAGAATCCTCGTCCTTATACTTATTTCTAACCTTATAAGGTTTAAATGACGATTATATTAAATATTTAATATTAAAAATCTTCTAACGGATACGAATGTCGCCGAGCGCATCCGAAAGCTATAAAGTCGCCACTACCTGCTGCCCTTAAACATCCACAATTAAGAACAGGCACAATTCTTAATAAAGTCAGTTTTAGAACATAAATATCTGCGCATGCTTAGATGCCAAAATAAGAGCAGCACTAATAGTGACTGACCTTAAGTGAACTCGCAATAAATCTCCTATTAAGGACAGGCACAATCTTTATTAAAGTTAGTGATCTGCGCATGCTCAGATGTCAAAATAAGAGCGGCACTAATAGTGACAGATCTTAACTAAACTTGCAATAACTCTCTAATAATCTGTTGCATATTTTAAAATGTGGCACTCAAATGTCACCCTTGGAACTTTCCCTATTTAGATTGGATTCGTTATAGTGATGGAGCGGAGAAGAATAACATATGACAATCAAAGATATAATACTAAGGTTTATTCTTAAATAAAAATCCGTTTTTTTTGTCATTTTTTTAATCTACTAGAAGATATTATGATATAGAGTCGCTAAACGCTCTGTACAAATCACTTTGCATGAATTAACTATAATAAATATTAGATATATTATACCGTAAATTCTGCATAATCAACATATTACCGATTTATTTACAATTCAAAATTTCCTATTGTTCTCTTGTATCCTAAAATCCGCACAATTTTAGAACGAGATTTAATAGGATTTGTAGAATAATAGATTGCGAAATTCTCAGAGCTGTCACATCTTTGTAAAGCTTAGAATTTTAGAATATTTCGTATAATAGGTATAGAAAATACACTTTATTGCTATACCTTCACTTAACTTCATATATTTTCATATCTTCAGTTTGTATTATTTATCAAATTTAAGTTATAAACTACAGAAATACAGTATTTTAATGGCATTTAAAGATATTCAAATAAGAGCAGTGTAAAGGTGAAAATTCTGATCTACATGTTCACACTTGAGCGAATTTCACCGCTTCGAAATGTATGTATTGCTAAACAGCCAAAATTTGTGTTATATGGGGAAGCTTTAAAGAAATAAAAAGTTTAATTTGGAAAGAGAATGGCATAAAACTAAATCTGTTTGCCAAATTTTCTAATTTTTTTAATTGTATACAGGGTGTACCAATAAAAACTCCCAGGCCGGATATTTTGGTAAGTAATAGAGATATTTTAATTCTGTAAAGCCAGTTCATAGAGCGCTAAGAGAGCTTCAGTTTTAGATATAAATTGATTTTAAATAGGTCAATATGCAGATGGCGCTGCGCTCAATAATTTTTTTTGATGTGAGGATCTTTCTTATGTAGCGCATCTTGTAAAAAATGCATTTTTAAGTAAATTTTATTTAATGAACTAATTCGATAAATCTAGCCATTTTTGATATACAGAGTGGGTCACTCAAAACAGTTTCATCCTGTTTTCGGCATTAATCATTAGATTTTTAGAAAATGCTTAAACAGGTCGATTTTTATTCCAAATTAAACACATTTTTATAATACAGAATCTGTCATGTGTCAACCCACTCCCTTCCACTTTTTCAATCCCTTAATTTTAAATAAGGAATGTACCATATACGGCACATCAATAAAAAGGTAATTTTATGGGAAAGTCAGGGATATGACAGTTTATTGCGATACTTTTAATTTTAGCGCCCTCTAGGGATAAAAAATCTGTAACGTATTATAAAGTGTGACACTTCATTTGAAAGCTAATTTAATTACTGATTCAATGCACCACATAACATTAATATAAATATTTCCATATTGCACTTGCAACAAAATAAAGTTAGCAATAATGTTTAAAATAATGCATGACTAATTGTCAAACTATTGCAAGTGCAATATGGAGGATATTTATAATATTATGTGGTATATTAAATTAGTAATTAAATTTGCTTTCAAATAAGGTGTTACACTTTAGTTTTTTTTATCCCGATAGAGGGCGATACAATTAAAAGTATCACAATGAACAGTCATATTTCTAAATTCCCCATAAAATTACCTTTTTAATGATGTACTACACATTGTAGTATCACACTCTATAATACTTAGTAGTTTTTTATCCCGCCAGACGGCGATAAAATTTAAATACCGCAATGTACAGAAATATTTCTGAATCCCCCATTAAATTACCTTTTCAATGATGTGCCATACATGGTACATTACCCATTTAACATTAAGGTGTGGAGAAGTGCAAGGGAGGGGGTTGACACATGACAGATGTATGTATTGTAAAAATGTTTTTAATTTGGAATAAAAGTCGACCCAATTTAGCATTTTCTTAAAATTCAATGATTAATGCTGAAAAACAGGATGAAACTGTTTTAAGTGACCCACTCTGTATATCAAAATGGCTAGATATATCGAATTAGCTCATAAAACAAAATCTGCTTAAAAATGCATTTTTTACAAGATGCGCTACACAAGAAAGATACTCCCATCGAAAAAAATTATTGAGCTCAACGCCATCTACATATTGACCTATTTAAAATCAATGAACATCTAAAACTGAAGCTCTCATAGTGCTTTGTGAACTGGCTTTTACAGAATTAAAATATCTTTATTACTTACCAAAATATCCGGCCTGGGATTTTTTATTGGTATATCTATTTTTTAAATTGTATTTTTTTCAATTGTAACTATTTTAATTTTATATGTTTTTGGACAACTTTGAATGTATTTTCTCCACATAGCGACATAAATTAGGTCACTAGGTATATGTATAGACAGCATTATTTACTATTTCTCTAGAAGAATTGAATTTTTTTAAAATTATCTAATATTTTTTTGATTATTCATAAAAAAACTTTCATTTCCAGAAAGACCGAATCTGTTATAAAAGAATCCTCAAAATCGCTCAAAGAAAAAATAGACTGTCTAGAGGGCCACTTTTGTTGAATTTTAACAATATTGGGCCATAAAAATATAGGGCAAAGAAAAACCATTAGGAAACACTTTAAAAGCAGACTTGTAATTGAAAACATTTTGATATATTTTATTCTCTTTTTCAACGGTAATCGCGTAAGTTGTTTTAACATTTGAAGTCGGCGTTTTTATTCCCTTACAAATTTGAGTTATAATAAAGTTAATATTTACTATGAGTGTTCTTTACTGTAGCCATTAAAATACCGGAATCTCCTAAAGTCGTTCGTTTTTCCAATAATGTATGATTAATGATAGAACGGTTTAAAGTTTCAAAAAACTCTCGGTCGTTGATCCAAAACAACGTAAATATAAAATTTGTTTTTGGATCAATAACCGATAGGTTTTAGGAACTTTAATCCAATCTAGAGAGTAAACAGAAGTTGAACAATAATTTGATATTTTTTTCTTTGTAGTTCTTGGGTTTTTAGGTGCTAGTGAGAAATGAAACTCGTGTATGTGTGGGTAAAGCACCATATCAACGGACATGACAAGAATAGTGGAAATAAATATTTAATAATATTAAAAAAAAGGATTTTAAACTTATTTTAATAATTGTAACGACACATCTCAACTTTGTACTAAGGAATTAATTTTGATATTTTAAAAAAACAAGGCTTTAATGCCAAAAAAAAATAATAATTTACAAATAATAAAAAAAAACTACTGAAGAAGGCACTGATCAGTGCCGAAAGCTTTACCCACACATACATGAGTTTAATTTCCCACTAGCACCTAAAAACCCAAGAACTACAAAGAAAAAAAATATAAATTAAGGTGTTAAAAAAAAAACTTTAGAAAAGGAGACTTCATTTTGTAAAGTACCAATAATAATTTGATAGTTGGAGAGGTGGTTAAAGTCGAATCTCATCGGACGAGATTACTGAATAACATACGGGAAATCCTCAATAAAATAAAAAATATACAAAAAATAATTAAAAGTTTAATTAACAAGAAACAAACACGAATAATTAAATTTGTTTTATTATAAAATATCAATAAATATCATTAGGAATTAATGAAACTATTCAAAATATCAAGAAAAGGAGTTTGAGTATGAAATTAAGATTACGCAACTCATTTACTTTAAAAAAGGTACTTCTGATAAGACTCGATTACTCTCATGGTTTTGACGAAATTTGCATTTTTGTAATTTTAGAACATAAACAATAATTATTAAAATATAAACTTTGTCAAAACCATGAGAGTAAATCTAGTGTTATCAAGGGTACTTTTTTGTAGTAAATGAGTACCCAATCCAAATTTCATACTCAAACCCCTTTTCTGCCATTGGCGTAGAATTTTTAAAGGTGCAATTATTTAAAAAATCAAGTTCTACGCCTATGTATTATTATCGGACAAAATTTTATACGATGAAAAACATAAAAATGTACTTTTTTCATATCTTCTTCAACACCTCTAATCGAGACTTTTAACAAAAATACTCGATTCTTGCCATGTACGATTTTTTGAGGAATATTATT